GTGTGTCCCCAAACCCCTCTGTGTGGCAGCCTGGGGGGTCCTTCTATCCAGAGGGAAAGGGCACCCATTGGAGGGAGTTTGCACCACCACAACAGAGTAAAAGCCACCACCTTGGCTGGTGTCAAATGCACTGGGGACATGAATCACAAGCCATGAGGGGGGGACATCCCTCAGTGCCACCACCTCTGAGCAGCTCTTTGGCTCCACGGGCAGCACATTGCATCCCTGTTCCCCAACGACGTGGACCGGCTGCGGAGGATGTCCCTGATCGAGGAGGGGGACACCAAGAGGATCAACATGGCCCATCTCTGCATCGTGGGCTCGCACGCCGTCAACGGCGTGGCCAAGATCCACTCCGAGATCGTCAAGACTCAAGTGTGAGTGAGGCCAGGGAGGTGGTGGTGGGCTGGGAAGGAAGGGGTGGTGGTGCCAGCTGGGCAAGGCTGGAGCTGTGCCATCCTCAACCTCACAGATTCGAGGATTTTGCGGAGCTGGAGCCGGAGAAGTTCCAGAACAAGACCAACGGGATCACCCCACGGCGCTGGCTCCTGCTCTGCAACCCGGGGCTGGCCGAGCTCATCGCAGAGGTACCGGCGTGGGGGGAGCCTGCCATGGCCACTGACCCTCCCTGCTGAGCCCGGGGGGCCAGGAGAACCTCAACCATTTACATCTTCTGGGTGGTTGAGGAGCTGAGGGTCAAGGGGGGGGATTCTTCCCCTCTGCTCTGCTTAGGTGAGACCTCACCTGCAGAGCTGCCTTCAGCCCTGGGAGTCTCCAACATCAGAAGGATGTGGAGCTGCTGGAGAGAGTCCAGAGGAGACCATGGAGATGCTCCAAGGGCTGGAGTCCTTCTTCTCTGGAGTCAAGCTGGGACTGTCCAGCCTGGAGAAGGCTCCAGAGAGAGCTCAGAGCCCCCTCCAGTGCCTAAAGGGGCTCCAGGAGAGCTGGAGAGGGACTGGGGACAAGGGATGGAGGGACAGGAGAAGGAGGAATGGATGTAAACTGACAGAGGACAGGGTTAGATGGGATATTGGGAAGAAATCCTTCCCTGTGAGGGTGGTGAGGCCCTGGCACGGGGTGCCCAGAGAAGCTGTGGCTGCCCCTGGATCCCTGGAAGTGTCCAAGGCCAGGTTGGACGAGGCTTGGAACAACCTGGGATAGTGGAAGATGTCCCTGGATGATATTCAAGATCTCTTCCATCCCAAACCATCCCACCATCAGCAGTGCCCTTGCTCCTATTGCAGAAAATCGGGGAGGACTACGTGCGGGACCTGAGCCAGCTGACCAAGCTGCACCAGTTTGTGGACGACGACCTCTTCATCCGGGAGGTGGCCAAAGTGAAGCAGGTGAGGGGGGATGAGGGCAGGGGGAGCAGAGAGCTGGGGCTGATGTTGCCTGGGGGGCTGACCTTATCCCTGCCCTGGCCCAGGAGAACAAGGTGAAGTTTGCCCTGTACCTGGAGAAGGAGTACAAGGTGAAGATCAACCCTTCCTCCATGTTCGACGTGCACGTGAAGAGGATCCACGAGTACAAGCGGCAGCTGATGAACTGCCTGCACATCATCACCATGTACAACCGTAAGCCACCACACCCCGAGGGGACAGGCTGCCCCAGGGCTGCACCCTGTGCCCCCCTGTCCCACAGTAACGCTGCTGTTTTCTCCAGGAATCAGGAGGGATCCTTCAAAGCTCTTTGTGCCAAGGACGGTGATCATTGGAGGCAAGGTAAGTTTGGTCAGGAGTTTTAGAGATTTTAGAGGAAGTCCTTGGAAGTGTCCTGGGGGATGTGGGTGCAGATGTCTCATGGGGCCACATCTCTACAACTCCCTGACAGGAGGGTGCAGCTGGCAGGGGTCAGTCTCTTCTCCCAGAGAATGAGACATGACAGAGGAAACGGCCTCAAGCTGTGCCGGGGGGGGTAGATGGGATATTAAGAAAAATTTCTTCATCAAAAGGGTGGTCAGGCATTGGAACAGCTGCTCAGGGCAGTGGTGGAGTCCTCATCTCTGGAGGAACTTAGAAGCTGTGTGGGTGTGTCACTTGGGGACGTGGGTCAGTGGTGATCTTGGCAGTGTAGGGGGAACAGTTGGATTTGATGATCTTAGAGGGCTTTTCTGACTTAAACAATTCCATGATTCCATGGTTTTATGTCCATGGAGCTGTCCAAGAAGCACTGGAGTGCTTCAACCCAAGCAAGTTTGGGTGGGGTTTGGACAACCATCTGCTGTCTGTGGTCAAGGAAGCCCCCAAAAATGTTGTGGTGTAACATGTGTTGGATTAGGTGATGGTGATGGGAGCAGAGATGAACAGGTTGTTCCCTGAACCAGCCTTCCTGGCTCACCTGTGGCTTTCCTCCCAGGCTGCCCCAGGATACCACATGGCTAAAATGATCATCAAGCTCATTAATGCCGTGGCTCAGGTGGTGAACAACGACCCCGTGGTGGGCAGCAAGCTGAAGGTCATCTTCCTGGAAAACTACAGGGTGTCCCTGGCAGAGAAAGGTACCTTGGGGAGAGGGTGTCCCTCAATCCCAGGGTCCTTCAGCAGGAAACAAACCCAAAGCTGGTCACCACGAGCCCCTCGTGTCCGTGTGTTTTGTTGGCAGTGATCCCTGCGACCGACCTGTCAGAGCAGATCTCCACAGCGGGCACCGAGGCCTCGGGGACGGGCAACATGAAGTTCATGCTGAACGGGGCTCTGACCATCGGCACCATGGATGGAGCCAACGTGGAGATGGCCGAGGAGGCTGGAGAGGAAAACCTGTTCATCTTCGGCATGAGGGTGGAGGATGTCACGGAGCTGGACAAGAAAGGGTGAGGGCTGGGGATGCCACAAGGTGCCACCTCAGGTACCTGGGGCAGCGCCATTTCACAGCCTCCTTCCCTCCAGGTACAACGCCCAGCTCTACTACGACCGGCTCCCCGAGCTGAAACAGGCTGTTGACCAGATTAAAAGCGGCTTCTTCTCCCCAAAAGAGCCCAACCTCTTCAACGACGTGGTCAACATGCTCTTCCACCATGACAGGTGAGGTACCAGGGCACCATCCATCCCCTGGGCTGGGTCTCTCCTGTGGGGAGAGGGGCTGGGACCACATTGCACATGGATGTGGCTCCTCAGGCATGGACTGTCCATGGATGGCCATTGTCACATTAATGCCTTCAGGCATTAATTCAGGCTGCCTTCTGCAGCCCTTCCTGATGATCTGAGGCATCTCAAGGGCTTTCCTGGCCAGAGCACTGGTCAGCCATGGGCATTGGCATCTGAGAAACACTTTCCCTATGTGCCCTCCCAGGGCATCCAGGGTTCTTTACCAACAAAGTTTGGGCAGGGGAAATTTGACTGAAGGCTTTGTGTTGGAGGACACTGTCAGGGACAGGATTAGATCGGTGTCTCGAGCCGTTTTTGGGGTTCGTTTTGGGGCACGCCTCTGTGTGTGTGGGGTTGGGGTCGGGCCTGGCTGAGGCAGTGCCCAGACCCCTTAGCTGGGCAGAGCTGTCAATCATAGCTAACCGAGCTCTGATTGGCCGATCTGCCAATCAATCACACGGGGGCCTGTATAACGAGCCTTTGATTGGCCGAGCGAGCAGAAGTCCCGCCCAGGGGCGGGGCCATGAAGGGCTGCGGATATAAAAGGGGCTGAGGGCATTATGGCTGCTGTTCTGCCTTGGCGTTTTCCTCGGAGTTTCTGCCTCACTCACGCTGGAGCCCAGGAGTTGGGAGCTGTGTGTTTTTTCTGTACCTTTAACATCTTTCTCTCTCTCTCTTCTTCTCTTAATCCCTTCATGGAGCTCTACGGGTAACATAACATCTTAAGGTTTTAAAGGTTAAAGGTTTCCCTGTTAAACGGGCTAAGCAAATGCTAAATAAATTCTAAGTAAATGCTTAATACTAAATTAATGCTAAGTAATGCTATGATAAGTGGTTTTACATTGAATTCAGTGTTGTATTTACTCCTTAGTAAGTTCCTTAATTTGCTCTATTTTTGCCAGTAAACTTCTGTGTGAATATTTGGTGGGGATTTCTCCTTTGTACCAAAACAGAGTAAAGGAACCTTTAGTTTAACCCCTGGATTTAGGGTGCACCAGGCAGCCTGCACTCCTATTTCTCCTGCTCTTGACTCCTCCTTTCTTTGCTGCCGCAGGTTTAAAGTCTTTGCGGACTACGAGGATTACGTCAAGTGCCAGGAGAAGGTCAGCGAGCTGTACCTGGTGAGTGCCAGCCCGGGGACAGGGCAGGGACACAAAATCCCATCCCTGGAGGAAGGGATGTGCTCAGAGCTGGGGTCCTGCGCTGCCTTGGAGCCAATGCCAACCCTTCTCCTTGCAGAACTCCAAGGCTTGGACCAAGATGGTGATCAGGAACATCGCGGCGGCCGGGAAGTTCTCCAGCGACCGCACCATCAAGGAGTACGCCCGGGACATCTGGCACGTGGAGCCTTCAGACCTAAAAATCCCCCCTCCCAACGAGCCCCGGGATGCAGGGCAGGACAAGACCCCCAATGGCACTGCAGCGTAGGGGCCGGAGCCAGGGGATGTGTGTGCTGTACAATTCTCTGCTGTCTGAGTCTCTGTGTTGCTGCTGCTGCTGCTGCTGCTGCTGGCTTTCCCTAGGGGTGGGCAGAGGGGGAGGGGTTTTTATAACCTAAGTGTCCGTGTGGAAAGCGAAACCACGTCGCCCCGCTGCTTGCATTAGGTGCTAAAAATAAAAAAAAGTGCCATTGGAGTCCCCAGCGGGCTGTTTGCTGGAGCCTAAAATTAGGGCTGGGCTTGCTTCTGCCAATGCTCACGCAGGAAGAGGGCTGGCCAGGGGTGGGGTGGGCAGCACAGCTGGATGCAGCTGGACACAGCTGTCTGGGCCCTCATGGGTGCTGCTGAAGCAGGATAGGGGGGGTGCCAGGTCCATGTAGCCCCACCAGTGTCCCGTGGGATGCTGCCAGTCGTGGCTCTGGTGGCCCTGACCACATCAGTGTCTCCATCTCTGTAGCATCCTGGAGGCAGAGGGTGACTAAAAAGTTTCTCAGTAGTTTTTATTACTTACAGGAGTAAGTTCAGTGCCATGGGGGGGTCCTGGAGTGGATTTGAGGGAGTGTGGGATCACTGCAGGCAGCAACTGGCATCACTTCTGGTTTAAGAAGTCTCTGCAACAAGATGTAATAAATCTTACACTGTGTCACTGACTCTCCTGTGCTGCGTCAGAGCCTGATTTGTGATCCCTGCATGCGGGGCTGAGCTGGGCTTGGAGCATCTCTGCACCCGGGGCAAAGAGGAGCTGGTGTCCCCAGAGCCACCTCCCCAAGCCACCCAAGCTGAGGACAGGCTCAGGGAAGTGGGGAGCGACTGAAGTTTAGAAAGTGATGCCAGCAAACACCGTGGGGAGGGGAAGGAGCAGGGGGCAGGCAGCTCTGAGCTTGCAGCAGGAGAGGAGGCACCAGTGGAAGGGAGGCCAAGGCTCATCCTATGCCCCCCCATTGCTGTGGAGCAGCACTTACTTCACCAGGGCAGGCAGCTCTGGGTTGAAGGAGATGTAGTCGTGGCCCAAGCCCAGCTTTTCAGGAAAGGTAATGAACTTCACCTTGGATTTGTCCCTGTAGGCTTTGTGTGCTGTCTCGTAGAGCTGCCACAGGGTGGGAGCGCAGTTACTGCACGAGCAAGGGACCCCAAACCCCTCCTGCTGTGTGGCCATCCCCTCTCTGGCCACTTCAGCCCTCAAAGGCTGGGTGGCAGGTGCCCACCTTGCGTCCCAGCTCTGGAGGCAGGACTCCATCATCTTCTGCGTGCAGGATGAGGAGGGGGCAGCCCAGCACCTTCACACTGCAGGCAGCAAGCACAGCCCTGAGGACTCCCCAGAGCCAACAGACCCCCCAGGAGCCTCCCCAATCCCTGTTAAAATTGCCACAGCACCCTGACCCCCCTCAGAACCATCCTCATGCCCACCTGGGTGATGCCTGTGCTGCTTGCTCCAGCATGGCAGCACCCTACTCACTTTAATTACAGGGTCAGCAGGTTTCAAAAGCACCCATAAATCAAACGGAATTTGGGCAGGCTCTGTGTGCTACAAGGAACAGGAGCACCAAAAATGGGATAGTGGCTTGTGGACTTTGCCCAATTATCAAACTGATGTCTGGCATTATGTAAATAAAGTCACTTTTGCAGTATGAGTAAGCTGGGTAAACACAGGAGTGCAGGAATTTCAATGGGGTCACTCACTCACACCTCTCCTGAGCCAGGTGGTTCTGGCATCATTCCCACAGCCCCTGAGCTCTGCTGTGCCCCTTCCCAGCAGGAACTCACTTCTCATCGCTGCTGAAGAACATTCCTGCCCGAGCCATGGAGTCCAGGATGAGGGACTCAAAACCTGGGAACTGCCTGTAGACCTGGCAAGGAGAGAGTTTGGGAATCTAAGCCACGGTTTGGATTCAACTGTGAGGGGAGGGAGTCCCAGGAAGCTGGGGCTGACACTGCTGGGGGACCCCAGAGGCAGAGCCTGTCACCAAGTGGGGATTCCAGAGGTCAAATCCCCTCCTGTCACTGCTGGGGGACCCCAAAAACAGAGCCCCCAGACTCACCTTGGTGATGGGGATGTTGGCAGCCGCCTCTCGGATGTTGGTGTAGGGAGACTCCAGGACCACGGCATCAACCTGGACCCCTGAGAGCAGAGTGAGGTGGGCATGGCTTTGAGGGGCTGTCCCCCCTGCCAGGCTGCTGCCACACTCCCCTCCCAGGCAGCAGTGAGGCCAAGATGTCCCCATCCCAGCAGGGAGGATAGAGAGGGCTCCTCATCACCCAAAATCAGGCAGGGCAGTGAAGAGCCTCAGGGTGACCCTGCATGGGGACAACCCGAGCCCTTACCTCGCTCCTCCTGCAGTTTCCTCGCTGCGTTGGTGGCAACCCTGTGACAGGAGAGGTGACAATGAGGAGGAGCAGCAAAGAGGGAATGCTCAACACCCTCAGATTCCTCTTCTTGGCTGTGTTTGGCTTTGCAGGGGCCTCTACCAAGCCCTTGGTCCATTCCCAGGTGGCACCAGTGTCACAGGGCACAGGGTGTGCCCCCATCCTGCACCCTGCACCTACCCTGTCCCCAAGGAGTGTCCCCAGAAGAGGATGCTGCTGTTGCCACTCCGTGCTTTCACCCAGTCATAGAGTGCCAGGACATCAGTGGTGAAGCCACTCTCAGAGGGGTGTCCAGTGGAGTCCCCATAGCCTGTAGGGGACACAGCTCAGTGTCACAACCCTGGTGAGGACAGGCCTCAAGAGGGGGATCACCCAGCAAAAGGCAGGGGGACAACTTTACCTCTGTAGTCGAGAGCCAGGACGTGGAAGTCAGCAGCCCCCATGGTCTGTCAGAGCAGCACTGAGTTATGCCCTGGTGGGGGATTCACCCCAGGACCCCCAGCATGGCCCATTCACTCTGCACAGGCTCTCTCTGGGGCCCCCAGAGCCAGCAGGAGCCTCACTCCCAGCAGGTGCCAGTGTCCCCAGAGGCCACCACTTACCTTCAAGAACTGGACACGGTGACTTGCAGCCCTGATGGGGAAAACAGGGTTAGAACTCAGGGAGACCCCAAGGGACCCTCCCCTCCAGCACCAGGTGAGGAACCAGGGTGACCTTATCCCAGGAGGGAAGAGCTGGATGCTGTGGGGTGGGTGCATTTTGACTTTCCCCTTTATTTTATAGGGATTTTCCTTGACTGCTGAGGTCAGAGACCACGGCAGCAGCCCCAGCCTTGCTGCGAGTTTCCTGCTTCTCACCTCAGAGCAGCCATCCTGCCCTGGTCGTGGCTCTGCAGCAGCAGCTCAGGAACTCACCTGGTGCCCCCATTGCCGTGCAGGTAGATGATCACAGGGTGAGCATCACCAAGAGCCTCCTCGTACCAGCGCTGGTCCTTGCCCTGCGCCTCGGCCCCTCTGCTGCCTGGCACTGTGTGCCTGGGGGGACACTGGAGTTACCCTGGGGGGGCTCCAGCAGGACACTGCTGTCCCCCAGGGAATGCTGAGGAAGGACATCCTGCTCACCAGATGCCAACGGTGACTCCTGGCTCAGTGGTGAGGTACAGACTGATGGTGTTGTTCACCAGCAGCTCTGGCCGCCGAAAATCCACGAAGAAGGGAAAGGCCACTGATGGAGAAATCACAGCCGTCATCGAGAATCCTCCTACCCAGTTGCATTTGATACAATTCTTTCTAAATCAGCGTGTTATTTGTTTTAAATTATCAAGGGCCATGCTGAGGCAGGCGAGCTCAGCCCTCTGCCACCTCCTCCCACCCGAATTTCCAGCCCCGCTGATGCTGAGCCTGCCCGGGCGTGTTGTGACTGCAGGCAGCAAACAGGGTCGGCAGCACCACGCTATTAGAGCTTGCAAAACACGGGCAAAGATCCCTTTGTGCCTCCTCTGCCAGCCCACGGCACGGCAGGAGTTGGATAACAGCTGTCCTGGTGCCATCCTGGCATGGTCCCACCATTGTTTTTGGGGGGGCCTGCAGCAGCCAGCTGGGTTTTCTTGGTTGGGATACTCACGGAAGTTCAGGTAGACAAATTTGGTGAGCAGGCTGGGGAAGAGGCGGACGAGGAAGGGCACGGAGGCGTAGGCGAGGAGCGGGGCCAGGAGCAGGGCACGCAGCCCCGGGAGCCAGGAGCGCTGGGCCCTGCAAGGGAGGCACGGGATAGCACATCCCCTCCATCCCAAGGGATTTGGGGTGCAGCACAGCAGCCTCCCCATTGCCAGCCCCAGCCATGAGGGCTGGATACAGCGCTTTTTCCTACAGGATGATCCCAATCCCTCTGGGAGTGGGAAGTGGGTGCCCACACCGGTGTTGTGTTTGGCTTTTGGGGAGCAGCCCCGCGGTGACACAAGGTGACAGAAGCCTTGATTCAGTCTCCCACGCCCTCCCACGGGTGCCGGGAGGCAGGAAGGGCAGGGAATGTGCCAGGGCTGGGAGCTGCAAGTCAAACCTGCAATAAGGAGCAACCGATACTCTGTGACAACACCCCGAGTCCCGGCTGGAGAGACACAGCCACAGATGTGGCCCCGAGCCTGGCATTAAAGCTTCTGCAAAGCTCCAGGGACAAGGAGGAAGATGGGAAAGGGGTTTTGGGGTGATGTCCCCCAGTGCCCTGCTCTGAAGGGCAGGGGGCCACATCCAGCTGCTCTCTGCAGCACCAAGACACAGCCCCAGCCCCCAGGTGGGAAAGGAAAGCCAAGAGCTGCAGCTTTCCCAGCATCAACCTCCCTCGTGGGCTAATGGTGATGTGGAAATCAGTCTGGGCATGGAGGATTTAGGGCAGAGGTTTGTGATGGGAGTCAGGACAGCTCAGTCTCTGCCAGCACATGAGCAGGATCAGCATCTCCCCTGCAGAAAGCACCCGGTCCATTCCCTGCCCTGGGAATGCTGCAAGACCCTAAAGAAGCATTGCACAAGGGTGCCAGGGCATGGTGGCACCGGTCCCCAGGGAACAGACACCCTTCCTGAGATGGTGGAGGATGGCAGGAGCTGTGCTGGAGGCACGGGCAGCTCCTCAAATCGCAGTTGTCCCCTAGGCCATGGGTCTGAGCAGCGATGGAACGGGCCAGGAATGCCCTGGAGAGGCTGCAGGGAATTGTCAGGTGCTGCTCTCGGTCTGCTCAAGTGCAGCTCAGCCCGGCCTTGCACAACACCTGGTACAGGTGAGCACCCACCGGGGGGGACAGACGCACCCAAGGCACCTCCGACGGCTGGCACGGTGGCCAAACGGGACAGCAGGGTGACAAGCCACAGCACGGCACCGCGGTGGGGTGGGACACGGCCACAGGGTAGGATCGTGTGGCAGGGTGACATGGGGACATGGTCACTGCATGGGGTCTCGGCAGTGGCAGGGTGACATGGGGACATGGCCACTGCCATGGGGTCACCGTTATGGCGAGATGATCCGGGGACATGGCCACAGGATGGACTCGCGCCAGCGACAGGGTGACACGGCCACGACAGCGGGGACAGACACGGGGTCACGGCCCCAGCACGGTGACCAGGCCACGGCGCGGGGACACGGGAGCACGGGGTGACAACTCCGGCAGAACAGCACGGCCACGGCACGGGGGACAGCGCATGGGACGCGACAGGGGACACGGCCGGGGTCGGGGACACGGCGGTGTCCCCACGGTGGCGAGTACTCACCGTCCCTGCCGAGCCACGCCGGACCTGCCCTTCCCCTGGCCAATGTCGCCGCTTCTGTCGCCGCTTCTGTCGCCGCTGTCGTCGTCCCCGCCGCGACGCCGCATCGCTGCGCGCCCGACAGCGCCGACAGGCCACGCCCACGGCACGGGGACACGCCCACGTCACGGGGACACGCCCGTGTCACCAGGCCACGCCCAGGTATGGCCCGTGTGTCGCTTGTCACCAAACCACGCCCATGGGCCACGCCCCTGACACGCCCACCCGCGCCTCGGGGACAGGGACGGAGACAGGGACACGGACAGGGCCACCCGCAGCCCCTGTCCCCCAGAGCTGGGGGGTCCCCGGGGTCTCTGGCACGGCTGCACCCCCTTGTCCCCCAGGGCTGGCCGTGTCTAGAGGGACGCCTCCAGGGTGGCAGTCCCCTGTCCCCCCAGGGGAGCTGTAACCCTCTGTCCCCAAAAAATCTGCAGCCCCCTGTCCCCCAGGGACCCCAGATCTGCAGCCCCCTGTCACCCAAGGCTGGGTGGGTTTAGAGGGGACCCTAAAGAATCTGCTGTGCTGTGTCCCCCAAAAGAGCCCAGGGCCAGCAATAAGGTGACACATAGGGAAAACAGCCTTGCCACGGGCAAGGAGCACAGAGAGAAAGCTTCCAGGTTAAAAAAATAATTTTTTTAATGGTTTAACACTAAGTCTGGTGCCCCTAGGATTCAGTCAAAGGGTGGAAACCTCCCCCCTCAGCTGAGCCTCCCACCTGCAGCTCTGTCAGGATGAGTCAGCTCAGCCTTTTCAGGATGAAACTTCCCACTGGGAAAGGAATATCCCTGGTTCAGTGGAATTGCCTGTGTAAGCCTGCCAGGTGCACGAGGGTGTGCTGCTGGAAGGCACCCACAGCTGGGCCATCCCTTGCATCACCTCACCTGTCAGTGGGGCCCACAGCAGGGCCCCCATAAATCAGCTGTGGGATGGCTGGGGACAAACCTTTTCCCAGAGGAGCAGCCACCCAGGCTGGTATTTGGAGCTGCTTTTATCCATCTGCTCTCTAAAGTAAGACCTGTGCTGCTTTTCCTGAGTTGGAATCATGGAATCCCAGAATGGTTTGGGTTAAAAGGGCTTTGAAGCCCATCCCATTCCAATCCCTGCCATGGGCAGGGATGCCTTCCCCTATTACTGCTCCAAGCCCCAATGTCCAACCTGGCCTTGGGCACTTCCAGGGATCCAGGGACAGCCACAGCTTCTCTGGGCACCCTGTGCCAGGGCCTCCCCACCCTCCTAGGGAACAACTCTTTCCCAATATCTAATCTAACCCTACCTCACCAGCAAAATGCAAATGCAAAGACAAACAGGTCCAGTCAAACCGGGGCTGTGAGCCCGTGTCTGCGTGTTCCCCACCAGCAGCTGTTGCAATAAGGTGGCACAAGCCAGCCCCGAGCTGCTCTTCCCTTGCCACAGGGGCAGGAGAATGGGGGAAGTGACCAACACACCCAGCTGGTTTCACAGGAAAGAGATTTTTCCCCTTCCACTCCCAGCGTTTCCCCATCCCCAGTGAGTGCTGGGGCTGCAGCTTGGCACTGGATTCTCACGGAGATGATGGGAGAGGCGATTCCCAGCCACTCCAGTTTGATGCCCACAGGGATGGGCGAGGTGCCAGAGGGCTCTGGAGCTCCTGAGGGCTGGAAGGGGCTGGCACGGAGCTCGGGAAGCGCAGAGAGCTCACCGGGATGGAGCAACCACCCCAAATATTTCTTGCCATAAGGAGCCAGCGCAGCAAACGCAGCAAACACAAAGGTTTCCGGGACTGAAAGGAAAATCCTACAAGGGAATCAGGCCCGGGAGGCGGTGCTGGGACCGGGATTGTGGGATGGGAGCTGGACGTGGGATGGCAGCAGCGAGCCGTGGCCGAGGAGCAGCGACACCACTGCGGTTAGCAGGGCTCGCCTTTGTTCCGTGCAAAAAATAGCGAAGTTTGGGCTTATGTCATTCCAAACTTCTCCCGGCACCAGCTGGGAGATGGGGAGGTTCCCTCCAGCTGTTTGTTTTTTGTTTTTTTTTTTTTCCCTACAGCGTCTTTTCCTTTTTCCCTTTATGGTTTGCTGATGATTTCATGGCGCTTTTTTTTCTGATTTTTTTTTTTTTTCTGGCTGTTTTATGGCCCTTTTCCCCCTGTCCTGGCCGGGGTGAGAGGTTCCTGTGCCCAGCACGGCACAGCTGGAAAGAGCCCAGGAATGCAGGAGCAGCTCTCAGCTCCCCCCCACCCAGCTCCCCGTGCGGCAGCCGGACTTTTCCTCGCCCCAGAACAAAGCACCCCATTGTTCAGGGAAAAATGGGAAGGAAAGCGTGACGGAGCAGCCAGAGCCAAGCCGGGAGGGTGTTTCTGCACCCACGGCCTCGCACAGGGGTCACCCACTGCCTGCGCAGCCGCTGACCCTGATTTTGGGTGGCTCTGTGCCAGCCCCGTGGATCCATCTGATGTCCAGCAATCCCGGTGTTTCCCACTTATCCCGATTTTTATGACGGCGTGAGCCGAGGTTTCCTTCCTCGCTGTAAATGCCATCGTGGAGCGCAGCTGCTCGCTGGAAAAGGGGCTCCAAAAATAATCTGGCGGGCTCTGTGTCTGGCAGGGCTCCGTGGCTCCTTAGAAAAACGCTTTTCTCCTATGGAAAAACGAGAGGGAAATAAAATCGGGATGCCTCTGCTAACAGCTGGTCCTGAAAATGAGTCGGGAATTTGCACTGGGATGGTCACCAGCCCTGCTGAGGCCGGGAGCTGCACATCCCTGTGGGATGGGGACATGGGGACACTGAGCGTGCTGCGTGTCCCCATCGCCCACCTATGCACGCGTGTGCTTTGTTGGGGGACGGGGGGGATTTTTTGGGGCTGTCGCTTGGATTAGCGAGGCACCGGCGAGGAGGAGGAGGGGGATAAAGGTCCTGGCACTCGCCGGGCTCGCAACAAAACAAAGCACCAGATGGTTCCAACTTCAGCATAATACGCGGAGAAAAAGTGTTTGAACCGGGGATGGAAAAGCAAATGTGGAAAGAGAGGGAGAAAGGAAAGAAAGGAAAACCCTCAGCAAGTGTCAGAGCAGAAGAAAGCGGCGGAGAAAAATGGCAAATGTTAAAAACCGAGACAAAAAGCACTCGGCCGGCACAAAGCCACGGCTGCTGACATCTGTCCGGCAAAGCCTCTCGCCAAGGGCCCCTTCCCTTTGGAGTCACCTTGCCTTGCTTCTGTCACGGCAGGGACACGGGCACATCCCCGGCCAGGGCTTTGCTGGGTGCTGGGGACACTGTGCCATGTGCCACAGCGCTGCCCCTGGGCCAGGTGACGTGCAGCAGAGCTACCCCTAAATATTTTATTACAATATTTTATTACGCTACTTTTGAAGCTCTTTACACTGTTACCACACACGTCCCAGATGTCCTTGTGTGGTGGCAAACCTACCCGGCTCCTCTGTGTGATCTCGTGGGGTTTTAAGCCTGGTTTACGATCTGAGCGAGGTTTATGCAACCCCCTGTGTGAGGCTTTTGTGTTGCACTCGCTCCTTCCCCAGGAAATTTCTTGAACCCGCAGAGCAGAGAGCCACCTCGAAAAAGGGAAGAAGGCTAAAAAGTCATCTCGCCCCCGGCATTTTCACCAAAAAAAGCCACAAAATAATTTCATGCAATAGCTCGAGAGCGGATTGCAGCGTGGGTGGAACCCC